TTAAAGAGCTTTTTCTAGGGGTTAAGACATTTACCAAGAGTGATCCTGGTGCAAACACCCATAAGTAAACCTTGGGCACAGTAATGTGTGGCCCCAAAACAGCATACAAAAGAAAAAGAGGGTAAAAAAGAAAGAGGGTTGGAGTGATAGTACAGTGTCTTATCCTTGCCTTGAAGGCTGCTGACTGGATTCAATCCCTGGACCCCATATGCTCCCCTGAGCCCCACTAGGAATGATCCTTGAGCACTTGAGCAGAGAGCCAGGAGTGCCGAATATGGCTCAAAACTCAAATTTAAAAAAGGAAGAAAGGAAGGAAGTAGGTTTTTAAGGACAGCAGTAGGATGTTTACCTTGCACACGGCCAACGTGGCCAACCCGAGTTCGATTCCTCCGCCCCTCTCGGAGAGCCCGGCAAGCTACCGAGAGTATCTCGCCCGCACGGCAGAGCCTGGCAAGCTCCCCGTGACGTATTCGATATGCCAAACACAGTAACAACAGGTCTCACGATGGAGACGTTACTGGGCCCACTTGAGCAAATTGATGAACAACAGGAGGACAGTGCTACAGTGCTACAAAGAAATAACAATCTTTAAGGAAGGAGCACAGCCAAGCCACCATACACGATACCCGGATTCCAATCAAGGTCCCAGTCACAGCTGCATACTAGGCAAGCACCTTCACCTTTGTACTAACTCTCTGGCCTCCAGAAAATAAATCTTGTAGCTCTTAAGAGCAGGTGACTAGGTTCCCATGATATTGCCAAAAATAAAAATTAGTGGATACTTATTAAAGGCAATATGGCAGCAGAAATTAAACTTGACCATAATTCACTTTGCATGGGAAATGAATGCCTAATTATTACAAGGTAACCCATCCCAGAATAACTCCTGTCCCACATAATCAAAACTCTGACAAATGCTAACTAATTAAATGAATCAAATCTTTGACGCTGCAGCTAATTAAAAGCTATCTTATTAGGAGGAGCTGGAGTGACAGTACAACAGGTAAGGTGCTTGCCTTGCACATGGCTGACCCGGGTTTAATCCCGGCATCCCATATGGTCCCCTGAGAACTGTCAGGAATAATTCCTGAATGCAGAGCTGGGAGTAATCCCTGTGCATCGTCAGATGTGGCCCCAAAACACACAAACAAAATAAGTAATTAATAAAAAAATAAATAAGTGAAACCTATTCTATTAAGAGAATTCAAAGTAACCCTAGAAGTATTGTGGTCAGCTGCTATAATATATATAAATTACAACCCACTAATTTTAGCTATTTATTCATTCTTTCACATTTAAATTTTTCTTTGTTTCCTTGATTTTTATTTTGGAACCATACCCAGTGGTATTCAAAGCACCTACAGGTGCTAGATATAGAACCGGGGCCTCCAGCATACAAAGCCCACGACCATCCTGTTGTTCGTCGATTGCCTCAAGCAGGCCCCAGTAACGTCTCCTTCATCCCAGCCCTGAGATATTTAAAAAGTGCCATATTCAAGGCTGTTTCAGGCTTAGGAAAATGAGACCCATCATTGTTACTGGTATTTGGCATATTGGATACGCCATGGGGAGTTTGCCAGACTCTGCTGTGTGGGCAAGTTACATTCGGTAGCCTGCTGGTTTGTCCAAAGTAAGAATGAGACAATAAGATGTCAGGGCCTCCAGCATACAAAGCACAAATCCTAATTAATTCAAGAAAACCCTTGAGAAGTTATAAACATAGTGTAGTAGGTTAACATGCAAAAAAAAACCTTTCCTGGGTATTTTTGGTTATTCCTGGCTCCGTGCTCAGGGATCACTCCTGGCAGTGCTCAGAGAACCCTCAGATGTGCCAAAGATCAAACCCAGATCAGTCATGTGCAAGGCAATATATTGTTATATTTGTTATATTGTTTTATTTATATAACATATATATATACTATCTCCCCAGCCCTCAAAGGCCTTATTGAAAGGGGGTGCTTCAAATTCATGAACCTTACTCTCTATCTCTAGATTAAAATAAATGGAAAAATCAGAATCAGGGGTGGAGGCTGGAAAGACATTTTCAATGACACAAAACTAAGTCTACTATGCTGATTTTGGTGACACTCCATAGTATGCAAAAATTTTCTGAACATTCACTCATCCACCTCCCATTCTCCTTTATTTTTTCTCTCCCCACGACTCAAGCCCAGCAGGACCCCAACTTCGCAGATCTGAATGCCTCCTACAACCCTCAAAGTTTAGGGAACCTTGACAATGGACTTATCTGGGGAAACAGGATCAAAAAAGCTTGCTGATTTACCTCAGATTTCTTATCTTTATATCTCCACCAGCAAATTAAACATATGGTACATAGAAAACACCTACCATAACCTCTAAATAATTTAATAGACCGGTATCTCTCCAAGAGGAGTTACCAGACACCTTTTGAGAAAATCAAAATTTCAGGTCGCACCCAAATGTACTAAATCAAAAACACTGGGCCCAGCATCCAGCAGCAAACAGTCCTCCAAGTGAGAGTCTGATGCACAAGCAGGTCTGATAAATCGCTGTACTAAACACACTAAGAAATCATCTTCCTATTCCGCACTGCTGGTGGCAAACAAGAAAAAACTGCTTTTTCCCAGCAGCCACCACTGACAACTGCCTGGGCCCAAAGGAGGCTGGTGACCACTAATCGCCTCTGGCCTGCACACAAGATGAATTTTAGAGTCAAATAACATGCACAACTTACAGTTGCTAGAGTGAACAGACCCGTGACCTTATCAAGTGCATTAACTGCATTGCCACATCTCTAAAGGAGGTTTAACTTGACACACCTCCACTGGCTTCAGAAAGGTACCACAAAGTGCCTGGCTCACAACAGACTTCCATGAACTTAAGATCCTTTTCCTTCCTTCCCTGCCACCTGGTCCCTGTTACTTTATATGGACCATGCAGAGGGATGTGGGGAATGGGGGATAATCCACGAAAGGAAAATATTATTAAAGAGTCTTACAAAATCATACAGAACAGCATTTCTGCAAGTGGCAGTCTGCAAGCTAGTAAAAAAAAAAGCCAAAGGAACTTAAAAAACAAACACTCCACAACAACAACAACAACAAAGACAACAAACATAGGCAACTTTCTTTTAAGTGGCCAAATGAATCACTAGTGAAAAGTGGAATGTGGGGGGAGGGAACATGAGGTTAAAATCAGAAAACACAGAGAAACTTAAATTCCTTCCTATCAACGTGGCCTGGGCACGGCAGCCTCAGAGGTAAACTCTTCATCCCAAAGTTGTCCCACCATATGTTGTGAATCAGGGTTCAAAATCATACATGAGGGGCTGGGGCAATAGCACGGCAGGTAGAGCATTTGCCTTGAACGCGGCCCACCCGGGTTTCCAGCATCCCATATGGTCCCGTGAGCATCGCCAGGAGTGATTCCTGAGTGCATGAGCCAGGAGTAACCCCTGTGCGTCACCGGGTGTGGACACCCCCCCCCAATATATATATGAGGCTAGGAGACACTGCAAGTGCTGGTATGGGAGACCCTGAGCTCAATAGTCAGCACCTTCCACCCCACCACCAACCATCAATGACCCACAGGGTGGGTGGCTGGGTGACCCCAGCTCCTGCAGAGTGCTGATCCCTTTGGCCAAGCACAGCAGGAAGTGACCCAGCGCCCCCACCCCACTGCATAGCTGGGGGTGACGCCTATTTAAACACATATGGCTGCAAGGGGAGGCTTCAATCCTCGCCATCCCCTCCCCCGCCAAAACGAAAACAACAACAATAAAAAAAAAATCTACCAGGTCATGAATAAGACCAAAACGCTGGCAAGTCTCAGTGCTCAAAGATAGGCGTTTTGAGAGGAAGCTGATCCCAAACACAATAGCCTAATGAATCTCCCTCCTCCCTCTGAATCGAACAAGCAAAAAAAAAAAAAAAAAAAAAAAAAAAGTTTTCACCTCCTAGACTCCCCTCCTTTGGGGAGGAGGGGCACTTAAATGGGGCATCCGCAGGAAATTCTAAAGCAGCAGCAGCCACCACGGAGACTGGCCACAGGACCCCCCACCACCACCCCCCAACTAACTCCGGCTCTTCCGTGCAAGTAGCCACGACATTCCAACCTGGGGTGCAATGTGTGCGATCGTGCCTTATTTTTTTTCTTTAAAGGAGTTTCCCCCTCCACACCCCCACCCCACCTTTCCTCACCCACCGAAACCCGGAGAACTCGGGGAAAGGGCACTGACTGAATGATGACACACGGCGAGGACTTGCAAAAACACACATACACACACACTCACGCGCGCGCGCGAACACACAGACACACTCACACACGCGTATACACACATACACACACACAGGCGCACACGCACACACGCACTCACACACGCGCAGACACACACACACACACACACACACACACACACACACACACACTCACGCGCGCGCGCGCCTTCTGCCCTCCAAGGGGGCCGGAATTCCAGCGCGGGGCCCCGAAACAACCCAACAACTTCTGGCCGCGAGTGCGAGGAGGGGCTGGTCCCTCACTCGGGATAGTCCCCGCTGTCCACGGGGCGGGACCCAGGGCCCTCCCGAGCCCCCCCCCCCCCACACACACGCACACCCCCTGCCCCCCACCCGCGGGCCACCCCTACCGCCTCCTCCCTGCTCCGCGGGCCCGCGTCCCCGGCCGGATGGGGACCCGGCGGCTGCCCGGCCTCGCCCGCGTCCCGGGACGCTCCCAAAGTCGCAGTCGGGGCCTCGCACGCCACCAACCCCCCCACCCACCCACCCACCGATCTCTCCCCGCGCCCCCCGACCTCTCCCCGCGTCCCCCGAGCTCCCGGCCCCGCTCTGCCCGGACCAACCCGGAACCCGGCGCGGGCCCCCGCCCAGGGGCGGGCTCAGGCCCAGGCCGCGTCGGTGGCCGAGGCCCCGGCGCCCGGGTGGCCCCGAGCCCGGCGTCCGGGCGCCGCCGGGGGACGCGCCGGCCGCCGCGGCCCCCGCCCAGGGCAGAGCAGGACGCACCTTCGTACTGCAGGTCCACCAGCACCAGCAGGAAGGGGAACACCGAGCCCAGCCGGCTGGTCACGGAGCCGGGGGCCACCATGTCCGAGGACGCGGGCGCGGAAGAAGGGGCAAGGCTGCGGGGTCCACCGGCTCTGCCCCTGGCCGGCGCTCAGGCTGCAGCTCACGCCCGCCCGCCCGCTCGCCCGCCGTCGGCTCTTGTTCAGGCCCGAGCCGCGGCTGGCGCCCAGCGCAGGCAGGCGGCGGTGGGCGGGGCCGGGGCCGCGCCCCGCCCCCGAGAGCCGCCGCCGCCCAATCGGCGTCTCGCTGGCTGCTCGGCCCCTGGGCTCGCCGGGGTCGTGGTTGGCGCCGATTGGCCGACGGGCCCGCGGCCCCGCCCCGACTCTGATAGGATAACGTGGAAGCACGAGACGAGGCTGCGTCCGCCGGTCGTGGAGCTGTCAGGGAGCTCCAAACGGCCGCGGCCGGCGCCGGGAGGCGGCGCGGGAGCCCGTGTGGCCGGCGCCGACGCCGCATGCGCAGCCGGCGCCGCTCGGGCGTCCCGGCGCGCCCCGAGCGCCCTCTCTGGCTTGACGCTCTGGGTTTGGGTTTTTCCCCGCGGGGCTGTTGCGGGAAGCCGGAGACCCGAAGACCTACAGGCGGCCGAGCCCGAGCCGGACAAGTTCTGAGGGGCGCCTCCGAACGGGCTCAGAACGGAGGCCTCAGAACGGAGGCCCGAACCTCCACAGGTCCCGGAGCCCCGCGGCCGCCCACAAGTACAAAGAGGGCGCGAGAACGGGGCAGCCCCGCCAGGAGCCGGCGCTGAGGGAGGCCAAAGCCTCTCAGAGAAGTACTTCAGGGAAGCCTTTCAGGGAAGAGACTTCTAGCAGGTTCCCCCGACGACAACCTGGAACCATGGAGACGTCCCCCCAACCGCCTAGACCCCGACTCTGAAGTGGATCCCAAAGGCTTCTGGAAGATTCTGTGAAGAAACCAGGGCCATCTAGATGCCTGAGAGAGCTGCTAACCTGGATTGTTAATCAAGGTGACCAGGCAGCGTCTCTCCGCAGCGCGCGGCAGCGGGAAGTCAAACCGAGAAGTGGGAGCCAGCCGGCACAAGGCAAGTTGCACCGCTCAGCTCGCATCAATCTCGTGTCCAGCCGCCGCCGAACGCCCAGCCAGCTGGACCCGCACTCACTCCAGAAATTGTCTCCGCATCCCAAAGAAGTGGCAGGGGCTCGACAAACCAATGGGGCAGAACCAGGCAACGAAAGATGTTGATATCAACGGATGATCCGAGCCAGATCCGAGCCTGAGAGATAGCACAGTGGATAGTGGACTGCAGATAGTACACTGCTTTGCACTCGGGTTCGAGCCCCGGTATCACATGTGGTACTCTGGGCCCTGTCAGGAGTGCTCTCTGAGCCTAGAGCCAGGAGTTAACCCTGAGCGCAGCCGGATGCGGCTCCAAAACAAACACAAATAAAACTAGGCTATACCTCATGACCTCAGTACCGCCTGTGATTCTGGTGTGAAGGCGGAATGGATGAAGCACGGTGAAGGACAGACTTAAGGCTGTGCTGTTGTATGTTGTGTTCGCCACCATGTTTCCACTTTACGTGCTCAGAAGAACTGGATTCTGAATACCACAGGGAATTGTCATTTCTTGAAGTGCACTAAAGACAGTGAACACAGAAAGGCTTCTGTTCCAAAGGGAACGCATGTAGACGAAATAATTGCCCCCCTCCCCCCCAAAAAAAAATCGCAAGCATGAATCCCTGACAAGTGATGATGGAAAGTAGTAGTAGAGGGAAGTGTGAATAAAGGGGTTCTGGTCCAAGAAATCTAGTTCCACACCGTGACTATGATCTAAGTTCTGCCAATGTATAAATGGGTATGTCCCGGTTTGAGGTGTCTCAGGAAGTATGTGAAGCCTCTGTCAAATATGAAGTACAATGAAAATGTTACTTATCTCTTATAAAGAGCAGATTAATGAATTCTCAATGGAAAAGTTTGTTTGCCTTTTCCCTATTGACATCACTTGTTGGTGGTAGCAGTGGCGAGCAAAATGGCAGATGATGTCAGAGTAAACAAGTAGGAAAGACAGCATCTCAATGAAGCACTGGAACCAACAATGCCCAGCCAGTGAGAGAAGAAACTTGTAAACAAGTGATCCTACACCATGAGTCATCACTAGAATACCGCCTGATTCTGGTGTGAAGGCCAAATCAGAGCTAAAATTTTAAGGTTGGAAATTTAAAATGTTAAGGAAATCAAGGATCTTTAATATTTTATGGGGCTTTTGGTCTTTGGTTGATTTTTTTTTTGGTTGTTTTTCTTGTCTTTTTTGGTTTGGGGGCAGCATCCCATGATCCTCGGGATACTCCTTTATGTGTTCAAGAATTATTTCTTGAAGTGTTTGGGGGACCATACAGTATGCTGGGATCTAATCCTGGTCAGCTGCATGCAAGGCAAGAGCCCTACCTTCTGTATTATCTCTGCAGCCTCAATATTTTAATGTATTTATCAAATTACATAGCTATGTCGTTCTGAAGAAATTCTTAAAGCTATTGTCCAGCCATTAAGAAAAAATAAAATCCTGCCACTTGTCCTATAACATGATGGACATGATGACATAATGCTAAGTGAGGTAAGTCAAAGACAAATATTATATGATCTCACTTACAAGTGTAATTTAAAAGATTGCATTTGCCAACATAGGAAACAAATTGGTGATTGCCAGAGAGAGGAAGAGAGTATGGGAGGAGGTGGTAAAAAGAATTATAAATAAGCTATTTAAAAAATCAAAACACACCAAAAAATATATGTCAGTCTTAGGTATATAATGGTAATGAATTAATTATAGTTTTTACATTGAAAATGCTAAGAAAAAATTTTTTTCTATTTGGGTCACACCTGGCGATGCACAGGGGTTACCCCTGGCTTATGCACTCGGGAATTACTCCTAGTAGTGCTCAGGGGACCATATGAGATGCTGGGAATTGAATTCGGTTGGCCGTGTGCAAGGCACACACCCTACCCTCTGTGCTAGCTGTGCTATTGCTCCTGCCCCTGCTAAGAAAATTTATACTAAAATTTTTTATGAATGAAATATAAATGTTTTAAATGCAACAATTAAAAGAGTGCTAAAATGAATAATAAAAATGAATTAACTAGAAGCTATCTGCAGAGAAGTTAACTCCACATTATGGTCAATCATCAAGAGTTGTCAAGGTAATTCAGTGGAGAAATACAGACACTTGCTAAGACAACATGCAAAAATACAAAAGAATGAAATTGAACCCTTAAGCCATATACAAAAGCAACTTAAATTGAATTATACATGTAACTGTATTATCTGAAACTATAAAAACTCATAGAAGAAAGCAGAAATAATTCTTTACCATCTTGAATTTAGTAATTCCTTCTTCAATACAACACTCCAAACACAGGCACAGGGCATCAGAGAGATAGTATAGAAGGTAATGTGTTTGTCACATAAGTACAGGGACTAAGGTGATTGCCTTACATGCGACCAATCCTAGTTCAATCCCTGGTAGTACATATGATCCCCAAACACCACCAGGAATGATCCCTAAGCACTGCCAGGTGTGGCCCAAAAGCCAAAAACAAACTTATCCAAGAATACAGAAAGATAATAGACTGGGAAACAACAACACACTTTTAAATCTATGGCTCAAAAGAACTTCTCAAGAGAAATTAGAAAATATTTTAAACTGAACACAAATGGAAAGATAGCATTCCTTAGGACAGTGGGAATGGCGCTTGCCTTGCACACAGGAAGTCTTGAATCCATTCCCAGAACAACATATGGTCCTTTAGGCACTACCAGACAAAATCCCTGAGCACAGAAGCAAGAGTGAGTGTTGCCCGAAAACAGGAAGGAAGGAGGGAAGGACAGCATCCCCATATTTCTGGAATAAGCAACATGTGTATTTTTTATTTCCACTAGCAACGTGACTCTAAAGTCAGAGGGAGTAGGAAATTTATCAGGGCACTTAGATGATCAATGAGCTTAATGTATCTATTACAGTGATCAAAAGTGGTAACCAAGGGGCTGGAGCAATAGCACAGTGGGTAGGGTGTTTGCCTTGCAGGAGGCTGACCCAGGTTCAATTCCATCATCCCATAGGGTCCCCCGAGCACCGCCAGGAGTGATTCCTGAGTGCATGAACCAGGAGTAACTCCTGTGCATTGCTGGGTGTGAGCCAAAAACAGCAAAAAAAAAAGTGGTAACCAAGAAGTAGACAAGTGAATCTGAAAAGTATGGTAAGATTTAGAAGATGTTTTGGAGGCAGAGCCAAAAGGACTGCTAATGAATTTGGAGAGTAGAGAAGAGATTGGAGTGGATGGGACTCAATTGCTAAAAAGAATCACTTAAGCAGTTGACAAAGGATATAGCAAGTTCAAAGATTTTAAAATGGAAATGATTTCAATGTGTTTAATGAATAGTATATTGAAATGTAATGAATTTGGTGAATAGTAATATGACATACCAGGACATAGGCAGAAACCAGCTCATATGATGTCATCTTAACTTTTTAAAGGGTAGTTTGAATTCTATGCTTTTGAAACCGGAAGTTACCAGAGAGTTTTAAGAAGAGCTACATGATTAAATTTAGAGTTAGAAGAGATCACTCTGGCTTTGATAGGAGGGGAAAGATCATAGGAGAAGAGGCTGTGTGCCCAGTTGAAGGCTATTGTCACAGGTTAGGTGAAAGATAATGATGAATCAATCTATGATGAGAACAACAAAGATGAAAATGGTGAAATAACAAATTTGGCAGGTTATTTTGATGGTGATAAACGAGATGAGCAAGTAGATTACCAATATTCAATTACTGCTTATTTCCAGTAAAAAGGCATAGCCTCAAGTTTTGTTTTACAGTTATTTAGACTTTGAAAAGACCAAATTTATTATTATTCAACAGATAAGATATTTGTTGAACCTCTATTTCAAATTCAGTAATAAATGAAATTAGAAGACAAGCAAGCAAACACAGGATTTCACCAAGATAAATATCTCCAACAAGGCAGCAGAGACAGGGTACAACCCAAAGGCCTATGTTAGCAGAAGTGTGGGAAGACTAGCTTTTGTTCTGGATCTCAGAAGAGACCAAAGGCCTTCTAGTCCCCCATGCTCATTACCCAAAGCAGTTGCCTTAGATCATTTGTTACATGAAGTTGTAGAAACCCAGGAATGGGGTGGGGATGGGTGGCACAGCACTCTGCAATGGCAGCCTGAAA